GATTTGTTGGAAAGCTTAGCAGCAGAAACTGCTTAAAGAAGAGTTCATTATGCTCCTTAACTTTGAGCACACGTTCCTCACTATGCAGATGTTCGATGGCAGACATCAAGAGCCAACCTGTCTTAGTCCAGAGTGTAGTATTCTAATATGATTTGAGCTTCCTCGTCTGCGTTTCACCTCATCCAGGTGACCATATTGGTGTGACGTAGTTAAAAAACGATGAGATTGTCGTTGAAAGCTTTCCGTTTGCGGAGAGTTTTCGAAGACTTCACGAGCAAGGTGGATATATTCGGCTAAGATAGATTCTCAAAAACACTTTTCCAACATTTTCAACGAATATATAGCCGTGATTCTTTTGGGGCACAACATTTTAAACAAACTAGTTATCCAATGTAATATTCTATAGTTACATTATAGCTTAAAAATACTCGATTACTCGGCCGACTTGTGTTCGTTGGGTTATATTATATTTATTGCTCTTCAGCTGTTGGTGACAAAGCCGTTCTATATAGAGCCGACTTGTTTTTCAAACGCGCTTTTCACCGCAACAATCACCTGCTGAACCTTCGGCCTGCTCATCATTCCCTCTAAACCGAACATTCCCAAAGTCATTTGGCTTAACAATGCATAGTGTTGCTCGTACAGCCCACGGCTTTTATCACTTGACTGATGTTGTTTTTTTCCATTTTGTAACGCAAAGCTATTATTGTTGTAGTGACAACTTTTTTTTGGGTCTAGTAAGCCAAAGCTCATTTATTTATTATTTTTCTCGTCGTCGCACTCATTATTGTAGTTGACTGGCGGCAACAGACAGGCGAGTGTTTTGTTTGCTGGCTATTTTGGGCAGTGCCAACATTGTCACCGTTTAAGTAGTTACTACAGAGCTTGCCACAGCCACAGCCACAGCCACATTGACGACAATTTGCGGCCGAACGCAAATAAATTTTCCTCATATTGCGGTTGTTCGCTTTAATAAATGAAATTGTTGTCAATGTGTTTTTGTGTTTTTTGTTTTATTTTTTCGCTTTGCGGTTGCCACGTTATGCCCAAGACTGAAGTGGCGGTGGTGGTGGCGTCTGCGGTTCTCCGTTGCTATGTTGCTATTATCTTGTGCAACACTATTGCCCACATTGTTGTTGCTGTTGTTGGGCGCTGCTGGTGGTATCTTTAATTTTCACGATTTTCTCTTATTTCTTTATCTGCTGCATGTGGCAAGGCACGTGCATATGTGTGTGGGTGTCAATATTGTGCTCGTAGTGCGGAATACAATTAAGCCACATCTCTCGCCCATCGCGCGCTGCCCTTTCACACTCTTTTATCTGTCTGCTGCATTGTTTTTTATTATTTCCTTTTTATTGCCCTCTTGTCTGTTGTTGTTATTTTTGTGGTTGTTGTTGTTGTTGTTGTTGTTGCATTGGCATTGTTTTTCGAAAATTGCCATTTGCCACATTGGCAAAGCGGTAATGGCCAGTCCCACACACGCGTGGCCGGCGCGTAGTACGGGCATGCCACGCGTTCGACAAAAGGCCACACAATGCCAGCGGCCCTGCAGAGCTCCCAGCCGTTGCAGGACAATCTGGCAATTGTTGCCGGTGGCACCGACAGTTGGCGGTTGGGAAATTACGTAATTTTCGCTTGATGAAGATTTACGGCTTGCACAGGCCCAACCACCGGCTGGCAAATTGAGGTGGGCGCTGGCCGTCGGCAATAGTCGCCCGAGCAGCTGCTAAACCAACTACATCCATATGTACAGCGGTGCGGCGGCAAGCATACTCTGTACAACAGCGTTCGCTTTGGTTTCGGCTATTGGCCCTTAGCCGTAAGCCGCTAGCCGTTGGCCTTATTGTCTCTCCTTTTTTTTGTGCCTATTGGTCTTTTCTATGGTTTTGCGGCTTTAGCGGTGCTGAGCTCAACAATGACAACTCTATTTACCTATTCAAAGCTCGGTTAATGCCTTGCAACAACAACAAACAATTAGATAAACAATAACATTCGCTAAGTCACCAGGACAAAACTTAATTTGAAAACATTTATGTGAATAAAACACTTAAGCTCAGGCGCATTAATTGAAAAAATCACAATAAAGGCCAAAGTACGAATTAGGCCGAAGGAAATTCGTGATTGTGGTGGAAATTAAAACATATTCGGTCAATGGCTTTTGTGTGTGCAAGTGTGTGTGTATGCCTCCCTAAGGCTCCTTCCATCGCTATCGACAAGTCGTGGTCTGCCATTTCTGCGCTTGCTGCTAATAAATTTGCCATTAAGACCTTTTGTTGTGTTTTGTATGGCATATGCTGGAAGAACAAGATTTTTCGATTAAAGATAAAAATTTAGCGAGGTTAATTTAATTTTGTTACAACTTCGCTATTTGGTATATTTTTTCTACGCATTTCAACTAGGACCCTATTAAGCCCTGTATGTATTTTACACGGACTAATCACTGCGAATTTCTTGCAACTAGCCACCACTGAGTTGAATCACATCTACTAGTAAGTAACATTAAAGCTGACCCAGAAAATTAGCTTTAGCTCTTTTCCGGATGGAGTTTACGCAGGAGAAGCAAAACCGTTTTAAGACATTTTTCTTCTTAACAATCAGCATAAAAAAATGAACTCAACAGATGTGTGATTCCCTTCATCAGTCAAGTAGTTTCTATGATGGTATGTAAGGTATTGGTTACCTAGCTAAATTCCTTACTTTTTTATTTAAAAATTTCAGCCTTAATTTATAAAAAAATATGTCTATTAGTATTATTCAAAGCATTGCCCATCTGAGGTGCTAACATTTTCACGTCAGTCTGGCAATTTATGGCTTCAATCCCATAAGAACTGAGCAGCCTTGGAATGAATCAATAATCTTTCTGATATCCTCTTCTGAAGTGATCCGAATTCTAGTGTTGGCATTCTGCATCAACCGGATCAACTGGTTTTTGCACATAGTTTTTAACTACTCTTGCAACAAAAGACCGAGTTTGTCATATTAAATTATTGAATCGTGACTAGTCGCAAATTCGGGCAGTTTTTCGTAATCATGGCGTTCCGCGTTAATGATTTCACCCAGTTTTATAAGCTTATAACATGGGACCCCTTTCTGAAGCCAGCAAATATAGAGAAGAACCTTAGCGTCATGAGTATTTGGCTTCTTTCTTAATTTGGCTGGATAGCCAGGTACAACACATGATTTTTCGCGTTTAGCTTGGTCGCAATGGATCCACCACCTTGACTTCGTTTCATAGCGTTCAAAGATCGTTTGTGAACATGCAAAATCACCTTTCAACTCCTCCCCGTTTCAGTTCACATTTCACCACATTTTCTTCTTTATAAATATACTCCGGCGCTTTGAACAATTTGAAAACTCTGCTTGAATGCCTTCCAGAGGTTCTTCCGGGTTTGGCAAAAATCTTCTTCGAGTAATGTTTCAGCTCTTCAGCTAAAAACTGACCGTCCAAGACTTTCTTCGTCTTCCAAGCTAAAACTACCAGTCTTAAATTGACATCAAAAATGATGCCGGTAAGAACGTCACCGTCAATGGCGATCGTTATAGTGCCATGATAACCGATTAACTATTTTATGCCTGATATTCGTGGTCTCGACGGAATTTGGTTTCAACAAGGCGGTGCCACATCCAACACATCGCATCAACCAATGGATAAAACTATAATACTACGAGACAACTACTACTACTTACAAGAACATCATTTTGCTCGGTCAGTTTTTATGGCAGCTACAGACCACAATAGCATAGATATCCGATATCGCCGATTCCGACAATGGAGGAGTATTTTAAAACAGAACGTGTGCGAAATTTCCGATCTAGTATATCTTAAAAAATGAAGAACTAGTTCCTCTATATGCAGACGGACTGACGCAGGTAGGGATGGATAGAAAAACGGACATGGCTAAATCGACTCACCTCGTCACACTGATTGTTTATATACTGTATGCTTTGAAGATTTGCGAACATGATATACCCTGTTCAGGGTATAAAGATTATTGTTATTTAGGCTTTAAACGAATGGATTTCGAGCTATGGATACCTACCCAAAGATGACGAAAAATTAAAAAAAAAATTTAATAACTTTAATTTTTCTTTAATCGGGAGTTTAAACCCCAAATCTCTAAGTTATAATTTCAGCCAAGAGGTTGCTATAGTTTGCTATAGCCTCTGTAGTATTTAAAGAGTTTGATGTCATTACGAGAATTGCACTGACACTCATCCTGCGATCCTCCATTGCACTTAAAGCATATTCTTACAAACTAGTTTCAGACTACTTAGCTGGAAGTGCTTTGGATTATTAAGGAACTTCATTTCATGAAAATATAATCTTAAAAACATCAGCTGAAACATCCGAAGTAATTCCCGTATATCCCGTAACTTCAGTTCATATTAGTGCTAATCTAATTGAACTAATTGTTAGTGTGTGTGTGTGTGTTATTAAAGTTCCAAGTATGTCAGTTGCTATTGATTGTTCGGGTGGGCGTGACCACGCTGCGTTTGATGTGTACTTACCTCACTGTCCACAACATCGGACTGTTGGTAATGACGATGAACATTTGTTTAGCCGGTGGCTTAGCCAAATGCAAACGAAAACATTGAACGCCTCTTCCAGACTGAAGTACAAGTTCATTAACTCGACTATTAAACACACAATGCCACACCACAACTTTTCGCAGCAGATAAACATTTGCAACTCACACAAACAAATGTTAGTTTGTGTGTGTGTGACTGTGCGTGTGCTGATTATAATGTACTCGCATGTGTTTGTTTATATAATCCACACGCTGGCTCAGGACTGCAACCAATTGATTATCTACTAAATATCGGCACATCAGCATGAAATCCGCACGTCACAATGAATAATGACCGAGCCAACTGACACATATATACATACACGCACACACCGGCTGACACTTTAAGTGCTTAGCACACACACACACACCCATGCACGCACTGAATTTTACTTTCCTATTTACGTCACTTCCTTTCTCCACTCCTTGCAGGTCTACAGTATGTCCACACCGAAGAGCAGTCGCGGCGGCGGCAATGGCAGCGTTTTCGGTGGCGCTAGTTCGTCCGCCGGCAGTGGTAGTGATCCCAAAGAAAAGCTTCGTCGCATACCCAACGTACAGCCGGGCACGCTTATGTGCCAGCACCTAATAAAGGAGGGCACCTACGGCCGCATCTACGCGGGTAATCTCGGTGACTCGTGCGATGTAATTATCAAAACTGTCGTTGATGGCGCCTCGCTGACGCAGGTGGCCTGTCTGCTGCAAGAAGCCTCAACGTTAATCGGTGTGTGTCATCCGAACATACTGACGCCTTTGCTGGCGAACACCGAGCTACCAGGTCCACCGGAGATCGCCTATCCATATCCGTCCAAGGGCAATCTCAAAATGTGCGTTGACAAGAGACACTCTGAGAGAAGAATATAATTAATATTTTTGTATTTTGTATAGCTTCTTACAGAAGTCGCGTGAGCTCAACTCGCCGCTTAGCACCCGTCAACTGGTGGAGTTCGGTTTGCATGTGACCAAAGGACTCGCACACCTACACTCGATGGGTATTATACACCGCGATGTTGCCACCCGCAATTGCTAGTGAGTGTTTGTTGTATTCTTTTTCTTGTTTCTATGGCTTCTCATTAAAAAATTGTTCACTTAATATTTCTTTTCTTTGTTCGCTCTCTCTCTTTGCAGTCTCGATATGGATTCCTACGTGAAAATTTGTGATAGCGCTTTATCGCGCGATCTCTTTCCCGACGACTATCATTGCCTGGGCGACAACGAGAATCGGCCGCTCAAGTGGATGGCTTTGGAATCGCTACAGAAGAAATACTTCAATACTTATAGTGACATTTGGACATTAGGTGTTCTCTTCTGGGAGTTGGCCACATTGGCGCTTACGCCTTTTGAAGAGGTGGACATTTTTGAGTTGAGCGCATACCTCTCGGATGGCTTTAGATTGGGGCAACCGATCAACTGTCCCGATGAATTGTAAGTAATCTCTTCCAGAAACAGCAAATTAAATATATAGTAGATTGTGGCTTGATTTGCAGAACTTCCGTTGTCGGTCTGAGTTTGAAAACCTTATTTTGAAGATTTTCTGAAATTAATCTCAAGCACAATTATTTATGAATAATCAGCTTCAGATCTAAATCCAATGCGTTTTATTTACTTATTTATTTATTTAGTTAAGTCTATGAACATTAATTCTTACTGACTAATGGAAAATTAGGATGCTCAATAGATTTCTAAAATAATTGTAATTCGTAATAGATCAGCAAGCATACATAGGTTCATAATTTTACGTATACTTTATATAAAGAAACTGAATAGAGACCTGATCGGCATGCTATATCAATGCTTTTACCGCTCTCGAGCTTCGAAAAGGTTAGGTTAGATAAAGTAAGTCTAGTAGGCTAATAAGTCGGGCACTGTCTTACTCTTGATATTTTCTGCATTCTGCACGATCTGAAGGCCAATTCCTATAAGAGTACTCCACCACCAGATTGAGATCAGAGAGGAAACCAAACATGTTACTGCAGTCTCCTCGATCAAGCGCCAGTCAGATCAGATGTATTTTAAAATCCATCAATTTTTTTACATTGACTTATTCAGTTTTGTACCCTGATAAGTCAATCCATGCCACTGTCCAGATAACCTTATAGACAACATTACACCATTTTTTGACAATTTCGTCCATTATCTCGTTATTCTTTATGCCTTTGGGACCTGGCTAAAGTAGAAATGAATCACTTAATCTTGGTGACCTGCCCACTGTCAACCTGCTACCCAAGAACCTTTTGGCCGATACGCGATGGCCAAAGCTTGGATGGTATGTTGGTAGAAGGATTTACTATCAGGAGCTCTCTATCAACTAGCAATAGATTTATTTATAGTCCACGTTCGATTTACGATAAGCTATCTAACCAAACCTAACCTAATAGCCACTCCAATTGTTGTTGTAACCTAATAGCCACACATTTGTCGAAGAAGAGATCCATAAGTGGCAGGTTCAGTACTACTTCAAAAAAGTGCTTTATACAGGACTTTAGATATCACAACGGACCACTGTTCTAGGCTGTCGAAATGAGATTGTAAAAGTATCTTTTAACCTAACCTAAAAGCTTTTTTAAGCAGGTCGAGCAACTCAAGAACTTTTGCTTCAAAGAGTGATCCATTTCGAAGTTTTCTACTTCTTTGGCACTTATTTGTTGAAGATTATCTCCATGACTCGTTCGAGCATTTTTATTGGCGTAAGACACGCGTAGTTTTGCTTCAAAATCTGAATTGTAGCGAGATTGTCCGCTTAGACTTTTGACTTTACATATCTCCACAAGAAGAAGTATAATGGTGTGATATCTCACGATCTTGGCTTAAAACATGAAATTATCTGCTCACCGAAGTGTTCTCTCAATAACTAAATTGATTGATGCGGTATATGGGAAGTGTGCGCCGACCTGTTCAAATCAAATATCTCAGGACCACTAGCTTAAATTTCAGGCATCAAAAAGTCGGTTACCATCAAGCGATAATTGTCGTCGGTCAAAAAAAGGCTTTTGAAGAAAATATATCTCTTGGATCACTCATTATGAGTAAAAGTCATTGGCTGTATTTTTTAACAGCAGATTATTTATGAGTCGAGCTGAAATGGGATTGAGAGTGTATTTTATCTAAAAAGCAAATTCTACAGAATGATGTACAAGAGATTTTCTCGCACGAACCCACAGAAAAATATAAAATTGGAGAAAACACTTTTAACTTCCTGATTTTCAGTTTTCATTATATTTTTTTGTAACCCAGTACCTTTTTTTTATTTTTTTTACTTCACAGCTTCACCGTGATGTCCTGCTGCTGGCTGGAGGACCCCAAGCAAAGACCTTCCTTCCCGCAACTACTCGCCTACTTACAAGACTTTCACGAGGACCTGGGCAAGTATATATAAATTCATACAAAGCTCTTAAAGTGAAGAGTATGGGAGAACCTGGCAGGGCAAGGACATTGCCCTCGAAGCGCTGCAAATGTGTAAATAGATTGAAAGCTCGTTAATAAACTTAAAAAAATAGAAAAATCTATCAAATTGATTGGGCGTTTTAAATTCAAATTAGTTAGTTACAAAAATACAACAACAAAAGTTATGCATTTGAATGTAAATAAAAAGCTACACACACACACACAAACAACTCCAATTGCAATTTCAGCATTCAATTATGCAATGATTTACAAAACGAAACCGCAAAAACACAAAAACAAATAAATGCAACTAAATGCATAGAAAGAGAAGAGAGAAAAACATTAAGGTATATTTAATGAAATTAATTAAATTGGGCTGCACAATTTTTTTGATTTATAAAACGTGACCGAACACACACAAACACCCACACGTTTGTATATGCATGTGTATGCCCACACATTTATTGTTATTGTATGGATTGTAAGCATTATTAAGCGAGTATTTAAATGTATTGTGGTATATTTTTTAAATTTAAGCGAATATATGTATATGTATATGGAAGATACTTTTTACACACCCATTTACTATGTAAGCATTAGAGCAAAGGATGGTATGGCATTTTATATGGTGTAACGGTGAACAGCACCAGTACATGAGTATACATGAAAAATTGTTGAGAAAGAAGTGCGAGCAATCGAGCTGATCGAATAGTGAAATGTAACAGTGGTAGTGAGCAACAACAACAACAACAACTAATATATTTCAATATTTACATGCGTGTATATAATATATACATACACACCCTTGCATATTTGTATTATATTATATTTACAAAATAGCTATTTATCTATAGTAAATATTTAAAATCCGCGCACACACATGCAAACACATGTTTCTGCATCTGTGTAAATTGGCACAGCGATAGAGAGAAAAAATTGGTAAAAGAGCGCAACAGGAGCACAACACAATAGCTGCAATTGTGCTGAAGTTTAAGTAAATTTAATCAATGTTATCGACAACAAAGGACCCCAGGAATCGTAAATCATAACGACAAAGGGTTAAATTCGTTGTTAACTTATTATAATTGTATGATATTAACTCAATGCCATAGCGAAATTCACTTAACAAATACAACTGCCATCAGCAACACACACACACACACACACTGCCATTAATATAGCAAACATAGTGCAATAAACCGCGAAAGGTCAAAAGCAAAAGCAATTTCATGTCGATAGAATTTTGTTTTTTGTTTATTATGTTATCTCCTGAGTACTTTTGTACGCATAGTTACTTTTATTAGTTAATTTTGTTATACACTTATTTACATATAATTCCTACATGAATGCGCACTTTTACGTACACAGCACACAGTGGCTCACAGCTTTTTCCGTGCTTAAATTTTTGGCCTTTATAGAAAGAAAACTACTAATGACATAAAAAAAAAATTAAATGCAGAATTTATAAAGGCATTTTTTATTTGAATAATAATTTAATTTTAACCTGTTTGACCGTTTGTGTTTTTAGTTTAGTAAAAGTTCCATGTGAATGAAAAATTAAGACCACTTCTTATTTCGTGCACTGACATCAGCTTAAGAAAAAACTTCTATAAAACTATTTAGTATTTCGTAAGACCTCCGTTGTAATCTTTTTAACGATTAACCGTCGAAGCAACATGTTTTTGAGTAGTTTCCCAGGGGAATCTTATGCCTTTCCTCTACTGTTTCAGGCTTTAGTTCGTTCACATACCTTTTTAGTGTCGCCTTGTCCACAATTGCTCACAAATTTTCAATGGCCTTTAAGTCAGGAGATTGTGGAGATGGTTTCATGGGGTGTTAAAAGTTCGAACTCAGTTATGATTGTACAATCGCCGATTTGCGTTTCAGTTATTGCCCTGTTAATATCGGAAACGATCGCCACCCAAAGCTTTGGCACTTGGCAACAAATTTTCTTTTAGTATGTTTAAATACTATATATATGTTTGTCCATTGTGCCATCAACAAGCACTAGTTTGCGAACTCCAGAAGCAGCCATGCAAGCCCAAACCATGATACTTCACTCACCGTGCTCAACAGTGGCTTTTAAATTTTTATTTTCAAATTTTTGTATTGGTTTTGGGCCACACATATTTCATACCAACCAAATCAGTGAAAATGACATCTTCCCAGAATGAATTTGGCTTCGTCACATGGTCCTGAGCAAATTTAGGTCGACTTTGTATATTTTTCTTCGAAATAAATGGTTTTTGCGTGCTACTCGATCATTGAAGTTATGTTCACGCAGTATATGATGCACATGTACCATCTTTCTCTGTAAGGTTCAAAAATTGTATTTACTAGTTGCACGAAATAAACTGTGAGCCACTGTACATACGAATATGTATTGCAGGTCTTAAATACCCAGTGAGAAATGTAGAGCGTTAGTGCTAGGTACGAAAATCTCTAAAAATAGCTTTGATTTTTAAAATTATATTACATTAGTTAAGGGCCACCCCTATGCAGTAGTAAACTAACTGCTCAAAAACACCGAAAGGCATACCAGAAATCAATCTCCATTACAACCAGCGTAGCGCAATACTCAGCGATAGTCCAGAATCACTAAGAGCGATCTATGCTTATGAAGTCAAATCGCTCTTGGTGGAGGAGTCTAGGGGAAGACTGAACAGCCTATCAGGATGCAATAGTGTACACCTGATCTGGGTGCCGGTGCATAAAGGGGTACCCAGCAATGAGCTGGGCCACGAACTAACCCGCTCTGCGGCAGCTTCCATGATGATGGAGGCAGATCCACGCATTGCGGAGGGGCCCCACATTATAAAGGAGAGTGTGAGGAGAGAATAGCACTGGCAGCAGGAATGCGCCACATCAAGCTACTACCCATGAATTTTCTTTGACGGAGCTTTGTTGTCAGAAATGAAATTCATGATGTTTATTGATGCGCTGTTGCTGAATTAATCCAATTCGTGGGTTGTAAAAAATAATAGCACAAAAATACGATTTAATTAAATTTTTAGGTCGAGAAGAATATTTTATGTTACTGTAAACATCACAAATAGCGCTCGTATTACAAAACGTTCTATATAAAGTCAAAAATGTCAAACTTTACGACAAAGTTTTAATTCCAAAGGACGGCTTCCAAAAGTAGTAGTTTCTTTATGAAAAATTTACACTTCAGAGTTACTCAAAAATTGAGCGTTTTATGAAATATTCCTTCCGTCGATCATTACTTAAAAAATATATTTACAAAAGTCGTATGATAATTTTAGGTCGAATGATCTAGTCGTTTCGGAGAATTTTTCTCAACGTCTCCAAAAACAGATTTACAGAAACACGCTTTTCAAGTTTTGGAAGCGGATTATATTATTCTTACGAATTCTTTCATATATTCGAAACTATTTTCCAGATGCTCATAAAAATTTCTGAAAATATTCTCAAATATACATAAGAACATTCGATATACTATGGAGATTAAAAGTTGAGGAAGACACTGTGAACTTCGGTCTGCGATATACATTTAAACAAAAAATTAGATTTTTTTATTCACAAATATACCAGCTCTTCAGCTAGAGGTGTCTTTATTAAATGATTTTTCTGCTACGCCCCGTTTTTCCCACTGGGTGTTTAAGACTCAATTGTCAATACAAACACATACATACCCACATAAGTATGTATGCGCCACTAACACAGTACAACTCTGCCACTTCACCACCAAATCAAACCGTTTGATCACATGATTATCTCCGACTAAGCGCATTTCGATGTATTTCTAATTCACACTGCGATTTTATTTAGTTTTACAAACGTGCATAGAAATATTCAAATACATATACAAACTAAAATACTTCTCCAACACAAAAGGTAGTTTAGAATACAGGAAGCAGAAAACTTGAATGCAATATACAGATAACAGATACAATAGAAAATACAGAATAGAATGAATGCAAGCAAACAGACAAAGGAAGAAAGTAAAAACTCACGCACCGAAATCGAACAACTGCCACGCCCATATCACGCTACACACACCCACACAAACAAAGCAAAGCCAACAAAACACTTATAATTGAAAAGAAATTATAACAAATGAAGTAAAAAGCGAAAGAAGAATGTATTAAGTGAAAATGAAAACAAAAAACAAAAACCAAAAACCAAAAAGCAAGCATGATAATGGAAACGAAAACGATTTGTGATTGTGTCAATGTTACAACTAATTGTATTTTAATTAACTTAATAAAGCATTAAAGTTGCAAACGAATAGGAAAATAATAATGCTGTGAAAGCAAAGCAAAAGCAAAAAACAAAAATAAAAGCTAAAAGTACCAACAAACAATAATACCAATGAAAATACGATAAACTTACGAAAAGCAACAAAAATTCTACTCGAACTATTTGTATATTTGTATATGTATGTCTTCATTTCACTCTAAGTGTTCTTTGTCCACTTTTGTACACACTCAAACACTCATAATAGGTATGATGACTAAGTGAAAAATAACCTCGTTACATACCGACATGTATACAAATAATCATACATACATAAAAACACACATTCAATGCTAATAACTGTACTTGTATACGTAACTCTATATTTGTATGTAACTGTATACGTAACTGTAACTGTAACTTTAACTGTACTTGTAACTCGTACTTTGTAACTGTATATTCCAATAGCTCATCAAATCATCTCACTCACTCCATCACTCTCACTCCTTCATCACTCACTAAAAGCTCTCACTTAAAACACTTTACTTACGCAAGAGCAGCCTGTGTAAAAACAGCGCAGAAATATTGAAAAAGAAAATAGCGAATAATTAAATAAATTATGCCGAACCAAAAATCAAGTCTAAATGTAATTTCCACTCTAAAACCCCTCATCATCGTCCTTAACAGCGTTAAACAGAGCAAACAAAACTATTACTAAAATACTTAAAACTAAACGAAGCAACACGAACTGCAAGTTCTTGCAACTACTCTCGTACTAAAGACACAAGGAAA